GTGTGTCCACTAATTAGCATCACAGGTGTCTACAATCTTGTAATCAGTCAGTGGGCCTATATACTGTATAGGGCTCCAAGTAGTCACTGTGTTGTTTGGTGACATGGTGTGTACCACACTGAACATGGACCAGAGGAAGCGAAGGAAAGAGTTGTCTTAGAAAGAAAATTATAGACAAGCATGTTAAAGGTAAAGGCTATAAGGCCATCTCGAAGCAGCTTGATTTTCCTGTGACTACAGTTGCACATATTATTCAGAAATTTAAGATCCATGGGACTGTAGCCAACCTCCCTGGACGTGGCCGCAGGAGGAAAATTGATGACAAATCAAAGAGACCGATAATACGAATGGTAACAAAAGAGCCCAGAAAAACTTCTAAAGAGATCCAAGGTGAACTTCAAGCTCAAGGAACGTCAGTGTCAGATCGCATCATCCGTCGTTGTTTGAGCCAAAGTGAACTTCATGGGAGACAACCAAGGAGGACACCATTGTTGAAAAAAATCATAAAAAAGCCAAACTGGAATTTGCCAAACTATGTTGACAAGCCACAAAGCTTCTGGGAGAATGTCCTATGGACAGATGAGACAAAAATGGAACTTTTTGCCAAGGCACATCAGCTCTATGTTCACAGACGGAAAAATGAAGCATATCAAGAAAAGAACACTGTCCCTAGTGTGAAACATGGAGGAGGCTCTGTTATGTTCTGGGGCTGCTTTGCTGCATCTGGCACAGGGTGTCTTGAATCTGTGCAGAGTACAATGAAATCTCAAGACTATCAAGGGATTCTAGTGAGAAATATGCTGGCCAGTGTCAGAAAGCTTGGTCTCAGTCGCAGGTCATGGGTCTTGCAACAGGACAATGACCCAAAACACACAGCTAAAAACACCCAAGAATGGCTAAGAGGAAAACATTGGACTATTCTAAAGTGGCCTTCTATGAGTCCTGACCTCAATCCTATCGAGCATCTTTGGAAGGAGCTGAAACATGCCGTCTGGAAAAGGCGCCCTTCAAACCTGAGACAACTGGAGCAGTTTGCTCATGAGGAGTGGGCCAAAATACCTGCTGAGAAGCAGAAGTCTCATTGACAGTTACAGGAATCGTTTGATTGCAGTGTACGAGTTTTCAATACTTGTGCTAGCATATATGCTGATTGTTAACCAATTTTATCGTTAATAGTTGTTTAAGCATTGGAATTATCAATAAAAAATGTGATCATTACTGATTACATATTTGTGTTTTTGTACAATGGATGTGCGTTTGTGTACATGTACTTATGTGTTTATGTGTGTTTTCACAGTTGTGTGACGCTTCCCCTGATAGGATCAAGTCTGCAGGGAAACACCCAGTAGTGGAGAGGAGTCTCTCCGAGGAGCAATGTGAGGAACCGGCTTCTGTTCTGGCCACTGCAAAAACAGACACACTGTGTCTATGGATAAATGCAACTCAATTTGCATTCAAATTATAATCTTGCATTAATGAGTAGGGTGACCATTCATGCTCATTATCCTGGACTTGTCCTCTATTTTGGCACCTAAAAATACCTGAAATATCTAGGATTTCTCTTGCTTCCAGGTCAGCATTTGCTTTTTGCAGTCAGAATAATTTCTGTGTGCATATTTACATTGACTAGTAGTGATTATCATGTTGTGAAAGTGCACAAACACAACACTGATGAGTATAGATAATGGATAGTGTACAGTGGTACCTCAGAACTCAAACTTAATCCGTTCAGAACTCCGGATCGAATCCTAAAAAGTTCAAGTTCTCATCGAATTTTCCCCATAAGAAATTATGGAAAACCAATTAATTGGCTCCCGCCCCCAGAAAATTACACCTAAATATGTTTTTTTTTAGCATTTAAAAACAAAATTAACCGGATAAAACAAGAAGAGCATATACTGTACTAAACACATCTAAGCACACTTATTAAAACAGTAATTTGTAAAATAAGAAAATAAATGTATCCAAACAATGTGTATAGTTAAAAAAAACAATGTGTCCTGCCCCGATCGTCCGCTCCTTCCGTGTGCCACGCCCGCTCGGTAACCCCATGTGATCAGCTGTTTCTGGTTGTTTTCATTAGCCCTCTGTATTTCGTCCTCGTTTCAGTTTGTTTCCCCAGTCTGGTCATTGTATTGTCTGTCTGCGTTTTGCCTGCCTTACCTGTAATTATACCCCGTATTCCCCGATACCCTGACATCTGCGCCTTTGTCTCCGTTCTGTCCCCGCTCGGCACAACAATATTATTATAATTAAACGTATTAATGGTTTATTATTAATATTAAAATTATGAATAAGAAATCTTTATTTTTAAATGTATTTTATTATATAATAATAATTACTGTTACTGTCTGTCATTGTCTAAATGTATTTTTACTGTCTAAATATTTGTATTCAGCTAGTGTAAACATGCACGATGCTATCACAGCGAATGCGAGGCTGAGACTGAAGCTTTACCCTTTGTTTCCGCTGAGAGACGTGCAGCGTGACTCATTTCCCTGTGCGTACAAGTTATCTTAGGTCGGCATTCACGGTCTGAATTCTGAGATTCAGATCGAGCTCTAGGTAATATTTTTTTGATCTGGCTGGTTCAACTTTTAAGAAATTTGAGTTCTAATGAGTTCGAGAACTGAGGTACCACTGTATATTGCCCATTGATGTGACAGGTGAAAACTTCGATCTCGTTGCAGAACCTGAAAATATTAACCTATTTCAAAGATATCTTGTACGTTTAATAGTGAGGTCCAGTGACAACTTTTCCGCACTATTGGAAATTGCTATTGGAAATTTAGATTTTTTCACCCCACCCTAATGGTCACCCTGGTTGATGATTTGATTCATTACAGGCAAGGTGTTTCATGGGAGTTTCGCTGTGAGGTGTGGCCTGCGTGTCGTGGTCTGCTGGCAGAGTAAAAGAGGGGAACTGTCTCCTCTAGGCATGATCTGCAGTGTTTAGGAGGAATGGAGCCCATATAGGGCTGTTGCATGGGTTTCCTCTGACAAGGACCCACTTTGTAAGAGTGCTGCAGTGAAGGGGGGCACTACACACACAGAGATAGCATGTTCTGTGCCGCCCTCCTCCTTTCTTCAGGTTCACATACATGGCCCAGGATGGTGGGGGTGGGCTTTGAGCCTGGCAGGACGTGTTGCTTGTGACTGAGGAGCTATTGTCAGGGCTCAAGGCTTGACCTCCAGCAGGCATCAGGGCAGATACAGAGGGGCCTGAAAGGAGACATTGTATCTCAGCTGTATGCTGGGGGCTGCTGCCTCCCAAAGATGTACATACCAGTACTGTGGACATCGAGCCTATGTGATTAATCTATGTTAAAATGAGTGTGGCTTGTTTCAAGAAAAGGAAGGCTATTTGACCCTTCCTAGATTAATACTTAGCACAGAAATGTGATAAGCTCACTTAGATTTTATGACTAGTTTTTGAATTCTGTTATAGGTAGGATGGCATGGAGACATACTGACTAGCACTGTGGTCTTATACCTCTGTAGCTTCAAGTTCAGGTCCTGCCCTTTGCTCTGTTTGTGTGGAGATTGAATGTCCTTGCTATGTTTGGGTGGGTTTTCTTTGTTTCTCTAATCTCATGCAGTTTTAGTGGGTTGGCATCTATAAGCTGTTTCTAAAGCATATTGTGTCCTGTGGACTGGCATCCTGTTTAAAGTGTCCCCAGCTTCCTGGGGTAGGATCCAAGCTTCTGGAAAACTGATGGATGTTATATATAGATATTTGTCATACTTTAGTACCAGAACAAAGTACACTTTGGCTGTTTTGGTATAAAGGCAGTATATGGAAAAAAGGAGGTGCTGATTCCTCAAGATACTTTTCCTTCAGTTGACCAGGTGAAATTTGGTCCCCCCAGGAGGAAAGTGACCGACCCTTGTCCTGAATTGGTGAGAACACACCTTTTCCCCAAAATTGCTGTTTTTACACGACTTCATTTTCATGTAATAACTGTCATTTTTATCCAAATATGTATTACTGTAAGTTGAGTTCCCTTCCAAAGGATACCACAGCAGTTTCTATCTTCAAATGTAAGCTGGTAGCCTTTTGGCCTAAAATGCAGTCACTAAATCACTGATTCACATTGGATCTTGGGCACCCTGTTACTTTAGTGACAGGCACACCATGTACAAGTTTTCTGTTCACTTTACACTGAAGATGCTTGTACCTGTAAATTGAAGTGAATTTAGCCCTGATCCAAGCAATGACTACACTGGAACAGCTAAAGGCAGAGGTGATAGCCTAGAGCAGAAATTTAGCAATGTGAATTCTGTATGGTTACTGCTGTTGTATCTTTGATCTCAACTTGTATTGATAAATACTGTGTGAATTTGTCAGATCTTCCTTTCACTGGGGGTGTAGAATATAATGGTATTTTTTGTAAAATACACATTTTTCTCCTTAATTGAGTTTTTCTGTAAAACCCACAAGAAGAAGTTATTTAAATTGATGTATTGGTGCTTTTGACAGTAATGGTGATGCTCGTCCTCCACAGAGCTCTTACGATGAAGACTGGAATATCTCAGAAGATGAGGATGATTCCCCGTATGATTATTTAAGGCTTCATTTGCACATTTTGTAAAACAAAACACATAAAGTCAGAGAATACAATGTCACTGTATTTGCACAGGCTATACAAGGATGTGCATGTGTGTAAAAGGAAATAAATGTAAATTTTAATTGTAAATCATTGCTGGATCATGGTTTTGTGACAGAACTGCTAATTCTATTGAGGAAAGTGGTCCCGAGTCATACAGTATTTAAGTAATTAAATTAATCAAACCTCAACTCATGTAAGCTGCTTTGAATAACCCTGTCTTTTGATAAATAGTGTAAATGATGTAAACGTTCTTAATGATGGTGCTGATAGCTTAGATCACAGGTTTCTGTTTCGCCTCAGGAGTCTCTTGGAGTGCGTTGAAGAAGCTTTGCTGAAGAGGTGGGACTTCCTCCGACCGCCAGCAAATCAAACTGCTGTGTCTGTGTGAGGAATGTGATATCTGCCAATGAGATTTCAATAAGCTTCTATGTGTTCTCGGTTGTCTCACAGCCTCTATCAGCTCTGAGTAACATCTAATAAAGCTTTAATCACACTAGTGTATGGGAGTGTGTAAAGTTTACGGTTCAGTACCTCCAGTTAATTTATCCCTCTGGGTATTCTGGATACTTTTTTATCTTACTTGGTAAGAAAGGTAAAATTTATGCAATATAGATGGTGGCATATTAGTAGCAATGCAATATTGAACCCGGAGAACCTTTGTCTGATAATGTAGCTTCTGTTAGAAGCATGTTGCATTTTGGTATTCTCTCATTGTTTTTGTGTCGTTGTCATCATGAATAATAATAATAATAATAATAATAATAATTATAATAATAATAATAATAATCAAGTGTCTCTCAAAGAATGCTCATGTTTTTTTTTCAGGAGTTTAACTGTGAAAAGGGCGCCCTCTGCTGAGGTAAATGACTATTGCCTGGTTTTCTACAAACCTAACTGACTTTTGAAAAACTCTAAATCAGGGGTGTCAAACTGCAGTCCTGGGGGGCTGGAGCCCTGTGTAGCTTAGTTCTTTCCCTGTTCCACCACAAATGATTCAGCTCAAAAGCTGTATGGTAATTAGCGCAAGAAGTTGAATCAGGTGTGTTAAACAAGGGTAAACCAAAAATGTGCAGGGCTCCAGCCCTCCAGGACTGGAGTTTGTCACCCCTGCTGTAAATGTTTCCATTTCCACAGGCTTATCGAAGACACATTTAACACATTTAACACATTTAACTAGCATTACTGGAAAAATAATGGAAGCTATAATCCAAGTGAAAATGGTAGATTACCTGGATGCAAATAACATTCTGAGGGATAGCCAACATGGATTTAGGAAAGGTAGATCCTGTTTAACGAATTTACCTGAGTTGTTTGAGGAAGCTACAAGAGAAATTGATCACAAAAAGGCCTACGATGTGATCTACTTAGATTTCCAGAAGGCCTTTGATGTTGTCCCCCACAAACAGCTCTTGCTTAAGCTCAAAGCTGCTGGGATTTTAGGAACTGTAGCAGCTTGGATCGAAAACTGGTTAACTGACAGGAAGCAGCAAGTAGTTATTAGAGGCACAATGTCACAGTGGGCCTGCGTTCATAGTAGGGTACCGCAGGGTTCATTTTTAGGACCACTATTGTTCCTAATTTACATTAATGATATTGACACCAATACATACAGTAAACTGGTTAAATTTGCAGACAACACCAAGGTGGGTGGTGTAGCATTTACTGATCTAGCTGCACAGAGGCTACAATGAGATCTTCATTTAATTAGTGACTGGGCTGATACCTGGCAGATAAAATTTAACGTAGATAAATGTAAGGTAATCCACGCAGGGAGCAGAAATATAAAGTACAGATATTTTATGGGTTCCACTGAAATAAAGGTAGCTGATTACAAGAAAGATCTCGGTATGTATGTTGATGCTTCCATGTCCCACTCTCGCCAGTATGGGGAAGCAATAAAAAAGGCCAACAGAATGTTGGGTTACATCTCTAGGTGTGTGGAGTTTAAGTCAAGGGAGGTGATGTTACATTTATATAATTCCTTGGTAAGACCCCACCTAGAATATTGTGTGCAGGTTTGGGCATCATACCTTAAGATGGACATTGCTGCCTTAGAAAAGGTGCAACGTAGGGCTACGAGAATGATTCCTGGTCTTAGAGGAATGTCTATGAGGAGAAGTTAGCTGAGCTGAATCTGTTTAGCCTTGAGCAAAGGGGACAAAGGGGGGACAGGTATATAATATTCTAACAGATCTGGATGCTGTTCAGCCAAATGGCTATTTCAATATTAGTTTAAATACTAGAACTCGTGGCCATAAGTAGAAATTAGCAGGAGAACATTTTAAAACGAATTTGAGGAAGCACTTCTTTACACAGCGTGTATTAGAGTATGGAATAGTCTTTCTACTAGTGTTATGCAAGCTAAAACCCTGGGTTCCTTTAAATCAGAGCTAGATAAGATTTTAACAACTCTGAGCTATCAGTTAAATTCTCCCCAAACGAGCTTGATGGGCCGAATGGCCTCCTCTCGTTTGTAAATTTCGTATGTTCTTAACATGGAATCACCCCATCATGCATGTTTTGTGGTTTATGTCAAACTGCCACACAGGCCTCCGTTAATGTGTGTGCTGTCCATGTGTGGCAGCGCTGTTCTGGCGAGGATGAGAGCAGACGTGGCGGATCTAAGTGGTGCCAGCTAGCCAGCTCTCCCCTGGTGTCCAGCACCTCCTCCCTGCCTGCCTTCAGCTCTGTCTGCTGCAACCAGGAGGATAAAGACCTCACACTCCGCCCAAGTGCTACACTACACTCAGACTGCACCCTGCTCCCCAACTCCGCCCCAGGTATGACCAGATGTGAGAAAAATTGGCATTCTTGAATAAATGTATCACTGTAGACCCACTGAAAAACTTCAAGGAGAAACACCCTTTTTAAAAAAAAATTGTGACTGATAATAATGAAATCATCTGACATTGAACTTCCATTTTCTCAAGTGTTATCCAGGTGCTCAGGCGCTCAGGATATCAGTCTGTGGTGCAGTGACTCCTGTGCCCCTGAAGGGGGCATCATACAGGAGGAGCCGAAGCCAGGGACAGTGGCTTCCCTGCTCCGGGACACTCCTCTTTCCCCTGAGTGGAGCACCCTGCGAAGAAAGACTGAGGAATCTGTGAGTGCCCCAGGATACGTATCAAAACATGGCTGCCTTCCAGTGAGAATTAAAAATTTACTTTCAAGACACAGTCATAACTGAAAATTTCTTATTATTTAAAATTCCTTCTTATTCTTTAGTCTCTTTTTTCATTATCTGATACTTAGAGCTAAATTTGTTTGTGCCTTTTTTACTGATGTTATTTGTGGCTTAAAATGTCCTCCATATACTATCTGTCCACCTGACTTATCATTTTGCCAGAGAAAATGATAACATTTATAATGCATGGCCCCTCACTGTGTTGTATGACCATACTTGTTGCATTTTATTTCACATATTTAGAGGGCTGATTGTCATGGACTACCGCCCACTCCCCAAGTCCATGTGAGTACGGCCTTGTGCTGATCTAGATCTGGACAGACACAGAGCTATGGACCACTGACACAGAAACAAATTCTGATCTAGATCTGTAGAGAAAAGAGCAAGGTGATGATTCAGCCAGCGAGAGAGAAACACTCAAGGTTTAGAAATCTGACCAGAAACTAGTCCTGAGGTCATATTACCCTCGGAAATTCCAAAATGACTCTGTGGCTTATGCAGTGTGGGCTGCCATTGTGGAAAGGTCCAGCTGTCCAGACCTCTGGAAGTTAAAGTTACGTTCGGTATTGTTCTTTAGACCAGCCAACAATCGACTATGTTGTTGTTTTTTGCCACTCCATTGTGTATGTAAAAATTGTCTTGCATCCATTGGTATCCAGATTTTATTTTAGCCGTCTTGTGTAATTTTACTTGTATTTGCCTGTATTGTACCTTGGTTTTGGTATTATAAACTTTTCAGCTGCATCAGATTATAAATTCATTTTGCAACTGTAAATGCTTTTGTAAATCAGTTTTACACAACGTGTGATACATGATAGTTATGTAATGTGATCTGCTATAAACAGCAGTGTAATTCCCAGATTGATATGGGGATGCCCATTAAAAGTGTGAAACACTGTCTGCCCATATTCCACAGATGGGAGCCTGTTTCTCAAAGGTGTTCAATGGCTGTCCCCTCAAGCTTTACTGTGCTGTCACTTGGGTTTTCCCGAGGACTAGAGGTAAGGGGCAGGCATCTACTATCTTGATTTGGAATCTTTATCCCAAAGCAATAATAGTGTCTCCTATCTGCTACCAGATCAGTACCTCATCCTTGGGGCAGAGGAAGGGGTCTATACCCTGAACCTGAACGAGCTCCACGAGGATACTATGGAGAAGGTACTGCAGTGCCGACTGGTGTATTCTTGGAGTACCTGAGGAACATCTCTGATGGTACAATACTGTGCAAAAGTCTTTGGCAGTCAAAAGAAATGTTAAAGCTATTTATCTGAGTAGTAAGTAGGGGTGTAACGAGATCTCACGATATTACAACATGATGAGATTTCTCGTTGGAGTGAAAAGCGAAGCATCTCGCGAAGATGCTGCAAATCAGCTGCTGTAAGCATGTCGGCGTCTGACTAAATTACCATAGTAGATGCCCCAGACACTTTTAAATCTTTTGTGTGGCAGCATTTTTGGTATCCGGCGGAAAATATAAACGGCGAAAGGGTGACAGAAAAAACACAAAACATCTGTAAGCATAGTAGTAAAATAATGCTGCACACGGCGGCTAACGCAACTACTATGCAAAGCCTTTTCCAGCACCATCATAACTCTTTACTTAAATCCACTGCACTGGTGAAGAAAACATTAAAAGAAAGTTTTATGTTTGTTAATTATATTGTTTTATTTATATTTTATGTTCAATTGAGAAGTCAAATAGGAGAAAAGCCGAGTTTGTAGTGAAATATTTTATGGTGCTAGATATTTGTCCTTTTCTTTACTGAATATAATGATGGTGATTATTTAACACATTTCACCATACATGTGCATTATTTAGCATTTTTTGTCTTTCAAATTAATCAGATAAAAGGCTGCTTTCCAGTAATATATTTCTTCTTTGAAGTTTTCCTTAAAATATTGTTAAAATATCCCCTAGTAGTAAGTATATGTGCAGTACTGGCATTAGCTGATGTGGCGCCCTAGGCAGGCATCAGTGCCAGCACCCCAGTCCGAGGCAAAGTTAAACTGGGTGGCCCAAGGTGGCCACCTATGCCGCCCATAGGTTTTTCTGGCCCTGGTATGTACTCACATAATAATTATAACATATGCAAATTAACTCCAAACAATAAAACTGAACAAAAATTTCTTCTGTTTTCCAAAAAGTTACTGATATCTAGTTGGGTGGCTAGATGAACATCGCTTCAGTTCCCAAACCTCTCCTCAAGGGCACCTCAGCTATTCTATGTATTCATTACATTTCACAACCACCTCACTTAATTAATTAACTTAATTAGTCAATGACATATTAATTAGCTGTACGAGGTGTGTTAGTGGTCAAAAAATACATGGGTGTACTGTAGGGTTGCTAGAAATAGTGGGGTGATTTTAGCGGAGGGTTTGAAATGGCTAAGCTAACACACTTTTACAGGCATAATAGCATCGTTTTACACCAACATGAAGATCATTTAAACATCATTTTCTTTGGTTGTCTATGACTTTTGCACAGTACTATATATTTATATACTAAATGGTCATAACCTGAAGGTTGCTAATACAGTGACTTGTGGAAAGTGTTTAATCTGAATTGCTCCTGTGAAATATTCAGCATGATCAAGATCTAAAATCAAAATAAGTAGCTTTGCATGTACTGTAAGTGTCAGGCTATGAGTGTAAATTTCTTGTTATAAAAACTATGGCCTTTTATGGATTCTCATGGCCCTTTGGGTGCCTAAACAGTTTGTTTTCAGAACCAGTAAATTTAAACTGGAATAATTTTTGCAGTAAATTGCTTCTAGTGTACCTGTATGTCTTGGCATTACTTGTATCCCAACTGGTTATGTAATGTTGATTGCTTGTATCACTGAGGAATAGAATCCCATCAGGGTGTTCTTGGCTCAGCCCAGATAAATGGGTATGCTCTGTTCCTCAGCCTCACCCTCACTTGAGTTCTTCCCTGTCTGTGCAGTTACTCCCACACAGATGCACCTGGCTGTACGTCATGAACAACATCCTGATGTCTGTCTCAGGTTAGGCCTCCTACCTTCTTTCTCTGGCACTTCATTTGAGGGGTTTCAGTGCCAAGATCCAGCAGAAACAGTAGAGGATACTGCAGTTAGATATTCTGTACTGCAGTGTTAGATATTCTACTGCACCTGTACTAGAGGACTTTCTTCAGTGAGTATTTGTATATATGAATAAGTTGTAGGTATAAATTCAAGTGGAGTCCATTAGTGGTAGACAGGGGGGCACATCTCTTTATTATTTAAGGAAAAATGCAGCACAACATTAGTTGTACTAATTAATCAAAACTAATGTCCGGTCCTGAAATATTCATATAACCTGTGATTCATGTAGCTGGAGATCCCAGGCATAGGGAATAATACTTTGCAGCAATTCAAGTAATGTGTGAGGAACGTGGTGACCGAACAGGTGACCATCCTGTGTGGAATCTGGGGTTTGAGCAACGGCTCTGATGCTAGGCGATTTTACCGAGGGCGCCCCCTACTGGTCTGATGAAAATGCCATTTGAGATTATTAAATTCAATAAAATTTAATTATGTTGTAAAGTTATATTTGAAAATGTAGGAGAATGTGGCTTGTGTTAATTATTACTACACATTTATTTAAGTGATTATAAATGTATTACTATATTTATAAATTTGCATGTGTAGCTCAGCTTGGCATGGCTTGTAATGAATGACTGGCTTGGTTCTGTCACCTTGCATTCCTGGGGAGACTGACTGTCTGAGCCCTCTTAGGGAAATCGTGCCAGCTGTATTCCCACAGCCTGACGGTCCTGTTTGAGCAGAGGAGACAGCTCCAGAAAAGGCAGGGCCACCTGTCGCTTAGCACCAACCGCCTGACAGAGAGGATCATTCCCAGGTGGGAATATGTGTTATGTGTACCTTTGTGTGTGGGAGTACTAGTCATGTACCATACTTTGAACCATCTTGTCCATCCATCCATCTTCTAACCACTTAGCCTGGTGGGGGGGGGGGGGTGCTAGAGTTTTAATGTCAATCCATCGCATGGCACATGCATGCAGACTAAGGGCAATTTAGACATTCCAGGAGATTTAGAGATGCAACTGCATGTCTTTGGACTATCGGAGGACAGTACTACCTGCTAAGCCACTATGATGCTGGACTATCTAATAAAGGCACTAAAATCTGGTTATTTATCTTCCATGAAACTCCGTACAAAGAAAGGAACCTTTGGAAACCAGTGTTGTAGGGACAGGTACTGTTTCTGATAGTAAAACTGCAGTAGCTTTGGAGGATTTCCAAATTCAATTAACTTGCATCTTTTGGTTATTTTTCACGTCTTGTTACTTCTCATTTATGGCCACCACAGTGCTGAACATTAGGCATAATGTTGCATTAAAACTATTCATTCTTGATTTATCAAAAGAAATCGTTTGAAGCCTTACAACTCTCAAAGGGACGTTCAGGAGTGCGGTGTGTTCTGCTTTACCGACACCCAGCTGAGATCAAACAAACCGTACAACCATGGGACTTCACTGTGCACCACTCAGATCACACCATACAAAACACGGCAAGACAGACTGAAGCAGTGTGTGTTTCTTAATTAACAACTGATGCACCGATGTGGAAGTCCTAATAGCCAATGTTGGAGTACCTGACGATTAAGTGCCAACCATTCTGCCTGTCAAGAGAGTTTTCCTAAGTGTTGCTCAAAACTGTTTACTTAGTGCCAGGAGCTCTGACTGCAGCCATGCTGGAGGAGCTGTATTCCACCATTTGGAAACAAGACAACCAGCACCTGGAAGCAGTCTCAGTTATTAATGGGGACTTAAACCTCTGCAATTTAAAGAGAATCCTCCCAAAACACCACCAGCACATCACCTGCCACACACCGGGATCCTCGACCTCAACAAGTTTTACCACTCATTGGTGCCTCTGCTTCCAGCCTACGAGCTGGAACTGCACCCAACCAGCGACAAGGGACGTACAATGCTGGACACTCAAACACAAATCTAGACTTTGAGATGGATTTGACTGACTGGTCCCTCTTCAAGAAGCTTGGACGAGTACCCTGACTGAGTCATGGCCGAAATTATTGGCACCCCTGGAGTTTTTTCCGGAAAATGCACCATTTCTCCAAGAAAATTGCTACAATTACAAGTGTTTTGGTATACACATGTTTATTTCCTTTATGTGTATTGGAACAACACAAAAAAACTGAGAAAAAAAGACAAATTTGACACAATTTCATACAAAACTGGGCTGGGCAAAATTATTGGCACCCTCAACTTAATATTTGGTTGCATGCCCCTTGGAGCAAATAACTGAAATCAGTCGCTTCCTATAACCATCAACAAGCTTGTTACACCTCTCAACTGAAATTTTCGACCACTGTTCTTTTGCAAACTGCTCAAGGTCTCTCAGATTTGAAGGGTGCCGTCTTCCAACAGCAATTTTGAGATCCCCATAAGTGTTGAATCGGATTTAGATCCGGACTCATTGCTGGCCACTTCAGAACTCTTCAGCGCTTTGCCTTCAACCATTTCTGGGTTCTTTTAGAGGTATGTTTTGGGTCATTGTCCTGCTTGAACACCTATGACCTCTGACGCAGACCCAGCTTTCTGACACTGGGCCCTATATTATGCCCCAAAATCTTTTGGTAGTCTTCAAATTTCATGATGCCTTGCACACAGTCAAGGCATCCAGTGCCAGGGGCAGCAAAACATCCCCAAAACATCTTAGAACCTTCACCATGTTTGACTGTAAGTACTGTGTTCTTTTCTTTGTAGACCTCATTCCGTTTTCTGTAAACAGTAGAATGATGAGCTTTACCAAAAAGCTCTACCTTGGTCTCATCTGTCCACAAGATGTTCTCCTAGAAAGATTTTGCAAACTCCAATCTGGCTTCTTATGTTTCTGTGTCAGCAGTGGGGTCCTCCTGGGTCTCCTGCCATAGCGTTTCATTTCGTTCAGATGTCGACGGATAGTTCAAGCTGACACTGTTGCACCCTGAGTCTGCAGAAAAGCTTGAGTTTGTTTAGAAGGTGATTGGGGCTGTTTATCCACCATTCGGACTATCCTTCGTTGCAGTCTTTTATCAATTTTTCTCTTCCGTCCACGTCCAGGGAGATTAGCTACAGTGCCATGTGTTGTGAACTTCTTGATTATGTTGCGCACAGTGGACAAAGGAACATGAAGATCTCTGGAGATGGACTTGTAGTCTTGAGATTGTTGATATTTTTCCAGAATTTTTGTTCTCAAGTCCTCAGACAATTCTCTGCTCTTCTTTCTGTTATCCATGCTTAGTGTGGCACACACAGACACAACAGAAACGTTTAGTCAACTTTTCTCCATTTTAACTGGCTTCAGGTGTGATTGCTATATTGCCAGCACCTGTTTCTTGCCACAGGTGAGTTCAAATGAGCATCATATGCTTGAAATAAAACGATTTACACATAATTTTGAAAAGGTGCCAATAATTTTGTCTGGCCCATTTTTGGAGTTCTGTGTGAAATTATGTCAAATTTGGCTTTTTTCTCTGTTTTTTGTGTTTATCCAATGCACATAAAGGAAATACACATATGTATACCAAAACAGTACTAATTGCAACAATTTTCTGGGAGAAATGCTGCATTTTCTGGAAAAATTCTAGGGATGCCGATAATTTCGGCCATGACTGTATGAGCTACAAAGGACTATTAAAACCCACAAAGAAACATGGACAGAAGAGGAAGACTGATTTTGGCAGTTGTTATGTGTGTTGCTTGTGGAAAGGACTGCATGTGATAATGGATTACAGAAGATTGCCAGCTACAATTGTGGACACCCCAGCATCACTCACAGACTAGATGAATGAGTGGCTTCTATGCTCTGGTCAGAGTAGCAAAACTTCTAAACAGGTTAAATCTTGCAAAGCCACAAACCCTGACATTCCATCACGTGCCCTGAAGGCATACGATGCTGGTACAGTGTAGGGTGAGATCTTCAACCTCTCCTTGTCTTTATGCACCATGCCGCTGTGCTTTAAGAAGACCACTGTCATACCTGTACTGAAGAAAGATATTATTTCCTGCTTATATTACAGCACTTGTCAGGATTGCGGGGCAAGCGAGCCGTAAAGCAAGCAAGCGGAGCCGTGAAGACGGACAAAGCAGGGTTTATTGGCAGACGTAGGGTTAACGAGCATGGACACCAAGACAATACAATGACGGATCTGGGTAGACAGACTGAGACAAGGACTAAATACAAAAGACTAGGCAGAAATAACAGGACACAGGTGATCACAATCGGTAATCACACGAGGTAACGAGGTGGGCGTGGCACACATCGGGATCGAACAGAGCGGATCGTGACAGCACTGTTGAATTCTCAAATCTGAAGGGTCTTGATTATTTTTCTATAACTGCACACATAGTGCCAGCCAGGTGAATCACAGTAGTAAATCAAAGTGCGATTGTGATCTTCAATTCTAACTATAAAAACAAATAAATTCCCTCAAGTCACTGAGCCAACAACAGTGCTTCAGGCTGAGGACCAGCACCCTTGGGGAGTGATTTAAAATGAAATTGATTTACTGATGTGATGTTCCTGTAGTCCAGGCATAAATTACAGCCCAGTATAACCTTCCTAAACAAGATGGCACGCAAGTCTGGTGTTAATAATTAGTAAACACTAAATAAGTCTTATTATAATGCTAATTTGGTATTTTGAAATCTTGGCAACAAAATTGGTTCCTCCAAGATAAAGTTTAGCCAAAAGGAAATACCACGGTAAATTAGTTTTACTTAAAAATGGATTTGCAGTTAATAAATGTGAAAATGTTTTCGAGTAAACCAGTGGGTTTAAATACACTACACGGAGGTTCTTTGCCTCTGCAGCCACGCTTTTAAAAATGCATAATGCACTGATTTTTTTACCCTTACTTAAATGCCTACCGCCCCATCGCTTAACTTTGGTATAGTCATGCCTGGAAAAAACTGGTCATGTTGCACATCAACCTCAACATCCCTCAACCCTGGACACACTTCAGTTCACATTCTGACATAACAGATCCATGGATGATACCTCCTGGCCCTGCCTACTCCTCTGGAACATTTACAAAAGAAGAACACATACTGTACATCAGGATGCTGTTCTTCGACTACAGTTCAGCAGCCACCCAAACTGGTGTTAAAGCTGAAAAACCTTGGTGTGAGCAGCACCATCTGCAACTGGGTGTTCGACTTCTTATCTAATGACCCTAGACCAGGGGTCTCCCAGCTCAGGTCCTTTAGAGCTACTATCCATTAAGTTTTCTATTCTACCTGGCCTCTGATGAGCCACACCTGTTCCTGGTATGTACCTGAGAACAGGTGTTGTTCAAGACCTAAATTAGCTGCAAAGGACTGACCAGCCTCGAAAATTATCAGCACAGATCTTCTCCATCTGCAATCCATCTATCTGCCAGAAGAGGGCCAAGTCCATATGTATTGTTTCACTTCCTATATTGCATCTTTTGTCTTGCACTGTCTAGTCTCCTATTGCATTGCTGTATTTTATCCTGTATTGCACTGTTGCTTATCCTGTTTTCCCCTCATACACCTGCCCCCTTCCCTGCAAGTGTGACATAAGAATTTCAGTTTTTCTTGGAGCACACATGACAATAAAACATGAAACTTGAGTGAACTAAAAACTCAATTTAATTAAAGAAATTTGCTTCAGGCAAACATTTCTTACATTAGCATTAGTAAAATTCACATTATGATTGGCTGTATCATTAGCTAATTAGTGTATTACATTTATGTAGAATAATACAGTATTTTCTGTATGACTGTGTCAACAGGAAATTAACTATTTCTGTGAAGATACCAGACACCAAAGGTTGTCGAAGGTGCAACGTTGGTGAGTAATAATGTGTTGTTATTCCCAATAGGATTTTATGTTAAAGTTTCTTTATAGCAACTGAAGTGGCCTGACATTCCCATGTTCAGGTTTCTTGATGTTGTATTTACTGTCTACACAAGAGCATATTCTCTCATCAGCAGCTTAAGTCAAAATAGTACTTAAAAAGTTACGCATATTCTCCCCTCACGGCCCAGTCATGCTCACTGCCTGTAACCCGAAAAAGGTGTGGGCATGCAAACAATATAATTCATTCATCAAGCAAGAAAAGGGGTTATGCCTTCAATTTTGGCAACAAGGAAAATGTGTAGTGTGGACTCTTTAATTTATATTGTCAATCTAATTGAATCAGCAGAATTCAATTCAATTTTATTTGTAGAGCGCATTTTCACAACATTGCATTGTCTCAAAGAAACCCTTTTATTCTGAAAATGAAAGCATGGCGGTAGAGTATTATGCCTATACAGTCAAACCATGGATTGTGAGTAACTTGGTTTGCGAGTGTTTTGCAAGATGAGCAAAAATCCTTAATAAATTTGAACTTGATTAACGAGTGAGGTCTTGCAATATGAGTATTACATATACGCTTTGTCTGCCTAGCGTTACGTGATCACAACTGAGCCGATGGTTCTTCTCTCTCTCTCACTGCGGGATTGTGGGTAACCATTTCCGAAGCTTGGTCTGAGTCGGCGTGCCTCACTTGTATAGTCAAAATTTAGCAATAGAGTCTGGCTGCAGATCCACTGAGAGGCACATCCACTGACAGGCAGGAAATGACATCACAGATCCACTGAGAGGCACAGCCATAGATATCTTCTATGATACATCCATTGACAGGAAGTCCACTGTTGATCCGTCACAGATCCACTCTGAAGCACACATTACTGCTTTACAGCAGCTGCTCCTTGTCGATTTTACAATTTAGTTTATTAGTTCATTTAAAAATGGTTCGTAGTTATCACTTGTTTGTATGCATGTACAGTGGTACCTCAAAACTCGGATCAAATCCTAAAAAGTTCGAGTTCTGATCGAATTTTTCCCAAAAGAAATAATGGAAAACCAATTAATTGGTTCCCGGCCCCAAAAAATTACACCTAAATATGTTTTTTTTTAGCATTTAAACACAAAATGAACCGGATAAAACAAGAAGAGCATTTACTGTACTAAACACATCTAAGCACATTTATTAAAACAGTAATTTGTAAAGTAAGAAAATAAATGTATCCAAACAATGTGTAAAGTAAAAAAAAAAAACAATGTGTCCTGCCCTGATCGTCCGCTCCTTCCGTGTGCCACGCCTCCTTGTTAACCCCATGTGGAATCCTGTGTGATCAGTTTCTGGTTGTTTTCATTAGCCCTCCGTATTTCGTCCGCTTTTCAGTTTGTTTCCCCAGTCCGGTCATTGTATTGTCCGTCTGCGTTTTGCTTGCCTTACCTGTAATTAAACCCCGTATTCCCCAATACCCTGACATCTGCGCCTTTGTCTCTGTTCCGTCCCCACTCAGCATGACAATATTATTATAATTAAATGTATTAATGGTTTATTATTAATATTAAAATAATGAATAAGAAATATTTCTTTTTAAATGTATTTTATTATATAATAATAATTACTGTTACTGTCTATCGTTGTCTAAATGTATTTTTACTGTCTAAATATATGTATTCAGCTAGTGTAAACATGCACGATGCTATCACAGCGAATGCGAGGCTAAGATTGAAGCGTTACCCTTTGTTTCCGCTGAGAGACATACTGTGTGACTCATTTCCCCCCGGCGTACAAGTTATCATAGGTCGGCGTTCACGGTTTGACTTCTGAGATTCAGATCGAGCTCTAGGTGATTTTTTTTGGAACTGGTTGGTTCGACTTTTAAGAAATTCGAGTTCTAATGAGTTCGAGAACTGAGGTACCGCTGTATTTCTAAATTATAAAGATTATTTTATTTAAAAATAGTTTATGCTTATCACATATTTGAATTATACATATTTAAAAGTAGTTTGTACTTCAAATTACAAGTAATGCAATTCTTAATTATAAATTCAAGAATATTTTGTACTTATCAGCTGTAGTCCTGATTGTGACTGTCAATAATGTCCAGATTTTTTTTCCCCTCAGAGTATTATATTGGAGCCTTAAAGGCTGCAAAATTATGCTTCTCTCAGAGCTTTTCTCTGCATACATTATCTTAGAATAACAGAAGTATTTCCTACTTAAATAAATCACTATACATAGATAATTTGGCAAACAACATTTTATTTGTAGGTAGTGTATTGATGTCTAAATAAATTCGAACGAATGCACAACAAAGCAGTATAAGGAACAGAATAAAAGAATGAGGAAGAATGAGGAAAACAATTCGTATTACACAAACATGGCATGAAGTTTAAGACCCATTCCATCAACACAATTAAAGAGGAAGGTTTCCACGTCCTCCCCATTATGAAAAATAAACATAAGTGGGTCATTTCTATTGCCACTTTGACCCTCCAGGACCTCCCTGAGTGCTTCCTGTTGATCCTCAGCCTCCACCTGGAGAACAGTAGGTTCTGTCACCTTTCCATGGAATGGAATCCAGCACACAGCACTGCAGAGGTTCCTCATGATGTGCGACTCCTATATGACATTGGAAGTGAATATCAGGGGTCGAATAAGTTAATCAGGTGCAGCTGGAAGTCAACAGGAAAACCACCTGAGAAAAATGAGGGACACACACACACCTCACACACACCACTATTACACTTTGTAGAGCAGTCAGTTACAGCTTGTCCACCAGGTCTGAGAACAGCAAGAGTGCTCACCTTCGAGAGAGGCTCCAAGTTTGCTTTCAGCAGATGTAAAGTTTCCTCAGTCCAAAAGGCAAACCTCTGTTCATGTCTGAGTAGTACAAACTTACATCACTTACATTAAGATATTGAAACATTAAGTCTTGGTAGTGTATCATCAATAGTGTCATTAATACCCGTGTATGCAAAACCTCTCCATTAGCTGAATGCATTAGCACTGACAAATTAATGGAATATCACCCTAAAAATAACAAAAATATAATATTCAGCCTCCCTGCTGGGCTTCACCTGGTATTCTATATCTGACAGAAACTTTCCTTCACTGCAAAGAAAGTGCACTTGACTCTGCATCTGAATGCATCTCAATGTAAAATACTTTGCTTTACCTACATACTTTTCCAGACCACTGCTCATCAGAGTTAGGCACCACCATTTCCTTATCTTTGGCATGTGCTTTGGATTACAAGCACGTTTCCAGAACAAGTTATGCTCACAATCCAAGGTTTTACTGTATTTGGTTATTCTCATGAACATGAGAATTCTTTGATAAAACCAAAATGTTTAGAATGAATACAGTATTTGTATTTTATACATAGCAATTGATATTACATTAACTTATTAAGAATATTAAAATTGTAATTTGTAGCTCTGATTTAATGATCTCTCAACCATTTTCCCCAAACTGACAGTACTGTTGCAATTTTAAGATCAAAGAGCACAAAACTAGATAAAATGTTTTTAAATCTCTCAACTTTATTGCAAGTAACCCACAACAGAGAATCTATTAGTATAATAAGACCTATGTAAATTTCATCAGGGTGCGTAGAGAAAAATACAATTAAAAGTGCTTAAGTCAATGGCGAGAATGCCTTCAAGGACCTTTTATGTGCAACATGCACATATTTCGGTGTTTCTCCACCCAAAGTGTATATCTAGCCTAAGCACTTAAACCCCCTATGTCACCCGTTATTGATTTATGTCAATGGGAGACTACGCTTAAGTGAAAAAACTCCCCGCCTATCCATGTTTTTGCTCCCTCCCAGCTCCCAGTAAAACGTGGCCTGTCTGGGAGTCACCGAGGATTGTGTTAGGAAATACTGTCATTGAGGACACACGGTTCTTTGAACATGTATTTATGTTTTGATTTCTCTCTCTTGCTTTGTCTGCTCAGTAAGAAACCCATACACTGACAGCACGTTCCTCTGCGGGGCTGTGCCGTCCGGTGTGGTGCTGCTCTTGTGGTATGACCCGCTACAGAAGTTTCTGCAGTTTAAGGTTTGCCGATTCTCCAGTCTTCCCAAGGACAGTTTCAAAAGAAAAAAAGATCAAGTATAAGGGTCTAAATTCTGTATGCTTTGTTTTATTTAATTCAGACATGCTGTACTTGACTAATTTTTACTTACTAATTGTTAATTAGTTGTTTTCAATTTACTGTCAGTGTTAATGGCATCGTTTTAGGCAAGGTTTCTCAACCCAGTCCTCGGGGACCACCAGACGGTCCACGTTTTTGCTCTCTCCCAATTGGCAGGGCATTGGGAGAGAGCAAAAACATGGACCGTCTGGTGGTCCCCGAGGACTGGGTTGAGAAACCCTGGTTTTAGGTGTGCAGTCCTTATCCTGACCTTTAACCTCCCTCTCCCCCTGTCTCAGCACATAGCTGTGGCCCTTCCTGAGTCCCTGCCCATCTTTGAGCTGCTGGTCCTGGAGTCAGATGAGCTGCCACAGTTGTGTGTGGGGGTGAGGTGTGTCAGGCCTGAGCTCCAGGTCTCATCAGCCAACCAGCAGCTGAGTTTTGACATCATAAATCTGAACAGCACGACGTATACAGAGCCAGGTAACCGTACATGGTGTTGTTTGATATATATATATATATATATATACTGTATATATATACCCGCACAGGCACACAAACACAAGTGTTTAATATTTGAAAATCAATACAATGAAATAAACTGAATGTTTGTATATATTGGAAGCAAAGGAGGAAACTGAAGAAAAATCTGTTCATGCACTTTGCAGTAATAACATTTGAAAACATTTGCCCCATCTTGAGTACTTTTGCAATACAGTGTGGTGTCAATTCTCCCAGTGAACACAGATAAATAAGTTCTCAGGCCACTTATAAGGCCTGAGATAGATTACTGTATAATTCAGAGATCCTGTTGTCTAAGATGCTACAGACAGCTCTTTCTATGAACTTATGAACTTAGGCCTAGGTTGTTGATATGGCATCTAGGCTTGATTATAGCAAGATGATGCACCATGACCCACCAGTCAAAGAAAGGGATTAAGGTTAGGCAAAGAAGGGAAGAAAAGTAGCCCACTATATCTTAGGGCCACAGTTGCAATGGATAGGGAGTACCAAGCTGAAGACACCACTAAATAAGGCAATTTATAGCACTGCTCTTAAGGCACGTAGATGTACAGCAGTAGAATTACACCCAGCAGAGTTAATGCATTTCAGCTCTGTTAATGAACATTACCCTTTCACACATTTTCCCATGGCATGTAGTAAAAAATGCAATTGAAACTACTTAAGTCAGCAGCAGAATGCGCATAAAGGTCAGTTACATGCAACATACCTATATTTTGGTGTTTGTCTGTCCAAAGCACATACCTAGCCTAAGCTCCCAAAGCCTCCAGACTTAAGCAGATGGGAGACTATGCTTAAGTGAAAAATGTGTGCAGCTACACACCTTTTAACTTAAGCACATGGGACAATCAACCCCACTTTGTGTAAAATTATAGTGAAGCATGTGATTTAATAAGTGTGAGGGTGTGTCAGTCCTCTGTGACCAATGGCTGGTGTCTCTCTGCTGATAGATGGTGAGCCTCTCGGGGTGGTACAGCTGACGCAGCTGGACAGAGACACAGTGCTCATTGCGCTGCAAGGTGAGTGCACTCTGTATGGTGAGGAATTTCTGCTTTTGCTGTCGCTGGTGCGCTCATACAATGAGGGTTTTGGTATTTAAATGTTATGTTGCCATCACAGTACTACTATTTAACAATCTGTCATTTTTACCTCATTTTACTATATCAGCTTTTCAAATTCTCTGGAAATTCTGCTGAAGACAGCCCATGGAATTGGCTTATTGAGCATACTAAATTGTCTAATTACTCGACTAACCACAACTAGTTGCAGCCCAGTGGCACATACTGTCCTGTACATTCCTGGTTCTGTTGCTTGGCTCCACAGAGACGGTGCAGGTGGTGAACCTGCAGGGTTTCCCGTGTCGAGAACTGGTCTCAGAGCTGACTTTTGGATTTGTCATTGACACTTTGGGTAAGAGGTCACTGCCCTGCCTGTGTCTGCAGACATCTTGGCCTTAGCTTTTCTATTATTGGCTTAGCCATTTAGTTTTATGCTAAGCAAATTCTCAGGGGTTTTACAGCTTGATCTTTCTTCAAACTTCAGCATTGTAATAAAATGTTGTCCTCCTTAAATTGAACATAACATCATTTACGTAGAATAGTTACTTATTGTATAATTGAATATGACTAGTACAGTATTTGTGTTGCACTGTATGTTGCCTGGGATAGGTTCCAAGCAGTTCTGTGACCCTGCTGAAGATAACTAATTTGTATGATGGATAGATGGATGGATGGCAGTGTGACACTGTGTTATCACTTTCCAGTGATGTCATAGCACTACTCACTGTAACATATTTGTGCAAAGCTTGTTTACAGGACAGCGTGCTGGCCTTTTGGAAACATGGTCTACAAGGACGTTGTTTGCAAACTAGTGAGGTAATATTTGATGTTGATGACATCAGTGCTTAACCTATCATGCAAGTCTATGTCTATTGGGTGCTTTCTCTCAAAACTTATTTTAGGGTTCCATGTATAAAGATTTTTTTGGTGTTTCCACATAGGTAACACAGGAAATCACAGACGAAAGCCGCGTGTTTCTGGTACTGGGGACTAACAGGTACACATTTTGTAAAAAAAAACAAAAAAGCTTGTTACTTAGAAAATGAGTCCAAATGTTGATCGCATGATGTCCAAGGATTTCATTGTAAACAACAATAAATTAAAAACTGTTTCAGAGAACATCAGTAACAGCATTTAACAGTAATATTTATATTGCAAAACTGTGATTCAAGCACATTTATACAACCACAAATCTGAAAAAGTTGGGACAGTATGGAAAATGCGAAAAAAAAAAAAACCGCAGTGATTCTGAAATTTGCTTTGACTTGTTTCATTGTAGACAGTATGAACCCAAGATATTTCGTGTTCTGGTAAACTTTATTTAATTTGTAAAAATATATCCATTCCTGCATTTCAGGCATGCAACACATTCAAAAAAAAAGTTGGAATGGGGGCTATTTAGGGCTAGTAATAAGGTAAAAAAAAAAATAGTGATGTGATTTCAAACTGGTGATATCAAGGTGATTGTAACCATGATTGGTACAAAAGCAGTATCCACAAAAGGCTGTCTTTGAGGATCAAAGATGGAGAGAGGATTTCTGGAGGAGAGGAGGATTTTATTAATAGTTTTAAATGATTGAAATGTTCAAAAACAATGTTTCTCAAAGAAAGATTGGAAGGGAATTGCATGTTTCTCCCTCAACAGTGTATGATATTTAAAGTATTCAAGGAATCTGGATGAATTTCAATGCGTAAAGGGCAAGGGCGCAAGCCTAAGCTGAACACCCGTGATCTCCAATCCCTCAGACAGCATCAAGAACTGTAAATTCATTAATAGCTGATATAACCACATGAACAAGGGATTACTTTTGTGATGGCACCATTAATGCAGAAAAGTACATTGAAATTAGAGCAACATATGTTGCCATCAAGATGACATCTTTTCAAGGGACATACATGGATTTTTCATCAAAACAATGCAAAACCACATTCTGCATGTATTACAAAGGCATGACTGCAGAAGAATAAGGTATGGGTACTGGACTGGCCTGCCTGCAGTCCTGACCTGTCCGCAATAGAGAACGTGCAGAGAATTTTGAAATGGAAAATGCGACAACGATGACCTGGTACTGTTGCACACCTTAAGATGTGTTTGCAGGAAGAATAGGACAAAATAACACCTAAAACGCTTAGTAGTCTTAATATCCAAAACGTCTTTTAAGTGTTGTGAGAACGAATGGCAACATTACAAAGTAGTGAATGCTGTACAGCAGACTTTTTTTGGAATGTGTTTCAGGTCTGAAATGCAGGAATGGATGTATATTAACAAATGAAATGAAGCTGACCAGGCAAAATGTGAAATACCTTGGGTTCATACTGTCGGCAATGAAATAAAAGTCAAAGTAAATTTCAGAATCACTGTGTTTTTTTTCTAGATTCCACTGTAACCAAGTCTACAGTCGTCGCCAAAGTTTTTAGAATGAAAAAAGTATTGGTTTTCACAAAGTTTGCTATTTCAGTGCTTGTAGATCTTTTTATCAGATGTTTCTATGGTATGGTCTGGGCAGTTTCCTGGCCATGGACCCAAAATGCTGATGTTTTCTTCCCCAAGCCATTGAGGTATCACTTTTTCCTTATGGTACGGTGCTCCATCATGGTGGAAAAGGCATTGTTTGTCAACAAACTCTTCTTGGATGGTTGGGGGAAGTTGCTCTCGGAGGCTGTTTTGGTACCATTCTTTATTCATGGCTGTGTTCTTGGGCAAACTTGTGAGTGAGCCCACTCCCTTGGTTGAGAAGTAGCCCCACACATGAGTGGTATCAGGATGCTTTACTGTTGGCATGACACAGGAGGTAGTGTTCACCTTTTCTTCTCTGGACAATCATTTTTCTGGATGTCCCAAACAATTGGAAAGGGGAGTCATCAGGGAAAATGACTTTACCCTAGTCGTCAACGTCAAATCCCTGTACCTTTTGCAGAATATCAGCCTGTCCCTGATGTTTTCCTTGGAGAGAAGTGGCTTCTTTGCTGCTCTTTTTGACACCAGGCCATCCTCCAAAAGTCTTTGCCTCACTGTGCATGCAGATACACTTACATCTGCCTGCTGCCATTCCTGAGCAAGCTCTGCACTGGTGGTGCCCGATCCCACAGCAGAATCTACTTTAGAAGACAGTCCTGGTGCTCGCTGGACTTTCTTAGGCACGCTGAAACCTTCTTCACAACAATTGTACCTCTTTCCTTGAAGTTCTTGATGTCTTCAAGCATCACCCTCCTTTTAAAGCATCCAGTCTGCTATTGTAACTCAGTCAGCATGACAAAGTGATCTCCAGCCTTGTCCTTGTCAACACTCTCACCTGTGTTAACAAGAGAATCACTGAAATTATGTCAGCAGGTTCTTTTGTGGCAGGGATGAAATGCAGTGGAAATGGTTTTTTGGGATTGAGTACATATTCATGTTATAGAGGGACTTTGCAATTACA